ATCAGATATTTGCAATACTTTAAATAGCCTGAAAAGTGTGATGTACATTGAAGAATTTTGCTATCACACATTTGGAGGAGCTCATATGTTTGCCAAATTCTAAAGAAAATTTAAAGCAATATATGATGTGAAGATACCTGAAAATAAGCCAGCAGACATGTTCCCGAATTACTAACAGGATTTTGGAAGTAAACATTTTAAATTAACTAGTACCAGTATGCCTTACAAGGGATATTAAATGGAAACAAACAGGGAGAAAGAAAAAAAGTAGTTAATAAACAGCCTTTTCTGGGCAGACATTCTTGTGAATTATTTTATTTTTTTAATTCTTCTATAATGAAGCAAATATAATGAGAAAAACAATATTGTTGAAAACTGTTAAGCAGTTATAATGATGAGTGTTTATCTGCAATGTTTTGAAACAAAAGGTAACATTGTAATTTATTCCAAACAGTAATAGGACTCAAAACTCCTCTTTCATATAAAGGCCCCATTTGTAGATCACCAGTCCACAAGTACTGCTGTTAAATACAAGCTTGATATTTCAGTAAGAGTTTAAAAAAGGGCAAAATGGGTCTAAAATGGTCCAGCCACAATGGCCATCTAATGTGGAAATAATACAGTTGCTGGACTGTTACAGGTAGCTCAACTCAATATTCAAGGGGGGGAAATTATAATGTGGAAATAATACAGTTGCTGGACTGTTAGAGGTAGCTCAACTCAATACTCAAGGGGGAAAAATTCATTCAGTGTTGCCATTGTCCTTTACTAATTGCTTGGCTCAATTCAGCTCAATGGACTGGAACACTGATGTTAGAAGCCCTCACTGTGCCTGCAGTTTGCCTTTTCCTGACAGCTAATGTTACTTTCTGAAGTCATCCTGTAGTATTAATTGTTACCACTGCTAATATGGTAATTGAATGACAAATGAAAAACATCAAGATCTATCTGGGATTACAGATGGGCTCTGAACACACCACCTTTCACTCCTAGGCCAAAAGCAAATGGAGATTGAAAAATAATTATCAGCTACTCAGTGTTGAGTGACATATTCAAAAGGAGTTTTATGGTCTTGGTCCATTTTTTGAATTGAGAAATGTTCATCACTCAATACACTGAGGCCTTGTCTACGCTTAAAAAAAAGATTGCTGCCGCCATGATCCATCTTCAAGTGTTTGGTTTAGTGACTCTAGGTAAGACTCATTAAATCAAACTCAGGGGGAGCCCCCCGCTGGTGTCTGGTACTCCTCCTTCTGTGAGGAGTAAGGGAAACCAATGGGAGCGAGCAAATGCTACTGTCAGCCTTTCCCTTAAAATGACTCTAGCTATGTAGAATACATAGCTGGAGTTGAGTACCTTAAGCCAAGCTGCTGGGTCTAGTGTAGACATGGCCTAAGGGTGCTAATGGGGACTTCCAGTGGCAGTTTTAACACACACCAAGAAATGAATAGGCAAAACAAACTGGTCTCTCTCCTCTCTGTTAAGAGTTACAGCACATCATTTTGTTAATATCTAGGGAAGCATACATGGCTACTGGCTATACTCTTTTTCATTCTTTGGGTAAAGAGTTTCAGAGCTGACATTCTAGTGCCTCACCAAAACTAGGTTCACTCATATATAATACTAGATGATTTACCCAGTGTTGCTTGAGTCCTTAACTCAATTTTTGTTTTTCTTCATTTAAATCATTGCTCTGGGGTGAGGCTGGAGATGATGGGTTCAATATGTCGGGCTGTCCTCGGGGAGAGAGGACTACTCCAGCCCTCTCTCACCACAGCTGCTTGGGGCCAGGTGAGAAGCACCTCTCCATGGCCGCTGCAGCTCCAATGGGCACAACCATGGGAGGGGTACATGTCCCCCAGCTGGGGCATGTCCAGGTTCATCTTCCTCCTGCACTCCCCAATCAGAGCGAGGAATGCAACAAACTGTGCACTTTCCCCTCACTCCCTGACAAAGGGAAACAGCCAGTAATGTTCCTGTATAAATCGGGGGCAGGAAGACTAGCCTGGGGGATGGGACAAGGCTCGTGGCTGGAGCAGTCCCTGGGAAGGGTAGCACACACCCCAACCAGACCCTTTCACCCTGCCTGGTAATTCTGTCTCTTTTCAGTATGGGTTTCTGTTAAGGAATCCCATTCTAGGCACATCTCATTTTCCTGGCATAACTAAACCTTGCTTTCAGTTATGATAAGGGGAAGATGCATACTGAATTTGGTGGTCCTAACTCTTAGCATTTAGGAGGAGTTCTTGAACATAAAGTCAAACAGACAGACAGAATCTCCTTTTAAAGTTATAGACTAACATGGCTACCCCTCTGAGATTTCTAGATAGACAGGGAGGCAGACTCTCTCAAATAGACAATAGAGGGACTAGCATTGCTCAGGTCCTTTACTGTAGTAATGGCTGTATTTTTTAATTAAAAGGAAAATGTACATGTGGGGGGGGGGTTGGGTGTGGGAGGAGGCTCAGGGCAAGGGACACTGGTAGCTGTGGGGGGCTCTGGCAAAAGGGTGGGGGTACAAGAGTCAGGGAAGGGGGATGTGAAGTATGTGGAGGGCCCAGGATAGGGGGGGTGTGCAGAAGTCAGGGCAGGGTTTTGGGTGGGGGAGCTGAGATCAGGAGGTGATGGGTGCTGGAGTTAGGGAAGGCAGTGATGGGGGCTCCAAGTAGAGGTTGAAGGTGAAGGAGTGAGGGCATGGGGCTGGGAGAGTTAGGGGTCTCAGAGCAGGGGGTGGAGGGTGCTGGAGTGAGAGCAGGAGGTGGGGGAGGGCCCAGGGTTGGGGGGGTGTGCAGAAGTCAGGGCAGGGTTTTGGGTGGGGGAGCTGAGATCAGGAGGTGATGGGTGCTGGAGTTAGGGAAGGCAGTGATGGGGGCTCCAAGTAGAGGTTGAAGGTGAAGGAGTGAGGGCATGGGGCTGGGAGAGTTAGGGGTCTCAGAGCAGGGGGTGGAGGGTGCTGGAGTGAGAGCAGGAGGTGGGGCTCTTAGATCATAGTGTTCTGTGTGATGGGGTCAGGGCAGGGGGTGGGGGACTTGGGGCAGGGTGAGGGAGGTGGGGAGGGCCAGGGAAGTGGGCTGGGAGGTCATGGGAGGGAGCTTACCAGGACTAACTGTGGTGGCGAGGGTGGTATTGCTCTGGCAGTGGCTCCTCCCAGGGGGCTGAGGTTGCAGGAGCCAACCCCAGCCTCCAGCTGGACCTCGCTTGCCCCTGTTTAATCAATTACCCAGTAAAACATAATGTTTAATCGGTTAACTACACAAATAGGATTTGACACCCCTACTCTAAATGCCATTTCCCAAATTATTTATGAAGATACTGAATAAAATTTTATACAGGACAGAACCCTCAATATGACTTTCCAGCTTGACTACTTCCAATTGGTTGTGTACCAATCTTATAGCAGGTTTTTCCAGGCTATATTTTCCTACTTTGCTTATGAGAAGATCACATGGGACTGTATCAGAAAAACCTTACTGAAGCTGAGATATTTTATAGATGTTGCTCCCCATTACCCACAAAGCTTGTTACCCTGTCAAAGAAGGTTGATTTGACATGATCTGTTCCTGACAGTTCCTGAGCACTTTATTATTTTCTAGGCATTTACAAATAGACTGACTAATTATTTTCTCCATTATCTTTCTGGCTATCAGTTAAGCTGTCTGGTCTATAATTCCCTGGATTGTCCCTATTCCCCTTTTTATACAGATGAACTGTATTTGCCCTTTTACAGTCATATGGGATCTTCCATTCTTCATGAGCTCTCAGAGAAAATCATTAATAGTTCAGAGACCTCTTCAGTCAGTTACTTAGTTTCTAGGAAGTATTTTGACAGGCCCTGCCAAATTGAAGACATGTAACTTGTCTAAGTAATTCTTACTTTACTCATTCTCTATTTTAGTTTAAGATTACATCCTAGTTACACAGCGGATTAGAGGTAATCATTCTGCAACACTCTGAAGAATTCCAACACCTGCTAAGGATTATTTATAAAAAGAAACTGAGAGAGAATGGATACGATGTGATAAGAAAGGCCAAATTCTGCCTTAAGAAACACAGTAGGTAACCTCACAGATGTCAGAAGGTGCAAGCCATTGTAGGATTTAGTATAGTATAAATAAGGATTTAATGACTGTTTGTGGGACGATGTCTGGTTTCTCTGGGCTGTAGCTGACTTGAAATCCGTGTTATTCAAGTTTGCAATAAAGGTAGCATATGGGTAATTGCTGTAGCGTATCATAAAATAACATTTCTTAGGACAAGATTTTGCCCCTCTGATTAGTTGTGCTGAGAAAGATGTAAAGGAAAGTTTTCTATCTCCAAAGAAAACATTTTCATAAAATTCTGCACAAAATCAACTTCCTAGACAGCATGGTGAAAAATTAGTCTCTTTTGAGATGTTTTTCTCTCCGATTAAGAGTGAAAATAATGTGGGGTTTTTTTTCTTCATCTGAAATTGAATCTTTGTTGCTTCGACAGCTTTCAGAAGCATGGTTGTTAAAAGAGGTTTGCTATTCAAAACCCTATTTATAACTGATGCATTCTGGAACTTCTATGAATAAATTCCACAGAGAAGAAAAAAAATTTACCCACATTTTTGAGTGGCATGGAGACTCAAACCTGCATTTCTCCTAGCTCCTCTGAGTATTATAGTACACTACTGCATTTTACCTTTGGAGAAAAAATCAAGAACCCTTTTCACATATTGAAATCAGATTCAAAGGGAGAACATGGAGATTACGGATTATTAAATGGAGAACAGCCAAGCAAGGAGTACATTGTCCAAAGTTTCCACTGTCAAAAAAGTTCATTTTAAAGTTATGATAGTGATTATTTTGGAATTCTGCATAGTTATTGTTATTTTCATCCCCAGAAACAGCTGAGCTAAGCTTTCAAGTGCTCATTTAAAAAAGGTTATGTTCTTGTTCCCAAATTAATTTCCTTTTTCAAGAAAATAACAGGACTTTTAGCAGCAAACAGGCACTCAATAGATCACATCAAAATACCATGAAAAATGGTGCTGCTGTTGCTGTTAAGATATGATTCAACCAACGGCGCTTGTTCCTCTGAATGCTTCGTTTTGCGCGTTCTTGTACGGCTGTCTACGTTGGACTGAACCATTAGTGGCTCCTGACGTTTTTTTTTCTGCTTCTGTTCCAGCAGTGCTCGCTGGGGGAAATACAAAGAAAAATAATTTACTGTGAAATAAACGCCATATTTAGGGGAGTATATGTGCATATAGCTTCTGTTCTGTAAACTCCGCTTAACTGAATGTTATTTGGCTTCATACTGTAGAATTTCCAATGAATTGCAACAGACATCCTTACATATCCAGCAATGACAGTCTGTCTTGTGTGCTATTTTCAAGAGGCAAGAGCATAGTCTAAAAGGACACTGAGATGCCAGGCCATAGAATTGCTGCTAAAAGTACCAAACAGGTAAAATAGATGGTCTACTGGCTGCCAGCGCTGGATAAAAAGCAACATCTTTTGGAATGCCAACAGCGTGGGAGTACTGGCTGTGAACCAATACGATAACCAAGAGCATGAGGCATGAAAATACTGATTTATGTTTTTGTAAATCAAGAAAAAATAATCTGTAAACTCAAATCAAGTGACAAGACTGGACACAATCCCAATGGAACAATGATACATGCTGAATTTTAACTATACACTGTATTTTCAATTTAAATTCACATTTACAACAGGTGAAAAGCAGATATCACTGCTAGAAGGCAGGAGATTATCTTTGCGATTGCATGGGTCTCTCCCTTCAGATGTTTCTAAATTTAGAATGTGATGGGTGCCAACGTACACTTATGAGGTACCACTATCACAAGCAGTCGGAACAGCCTCAAGAACGAGATGGGCTTAGCGGGGTTTAATTTTGGTAACCCAATGTATTATTTGTCCCCTTCCTCTAAACTGAGCTGTTAGTACATGGGTTGTCTTTTGCTATTTATAACAGCATGGAGCGAAATCAAAAGGGCTGGGTTAAAATAGAGGAATACCCACAGAGGATCAGTTTCCAACAGCCTTCCCTTATGCTGAGTACTACTTTACTCCACTAATGCGGCACTGCTACTCAACATGAATTAGAGGTTACAGTCTAACTCATACGCAACATGAGAGACAAGGTGGGTGATCCTTGCTGAGAGAGACAAGCTTTGGAGCTACACAGAACTCTTCAGGCCTGGAAAAGGTACTCAGCATGTCACAGCTAAAATACAGACAATGGATAAGTCTCATGGGGTAGCCGTTTTAGTCTCTATCTGCAAAAACAACATCATTCAGTTTAGCATAAGTAGTTAACACATATTATAAGGAAATATTCAAGGTGAAATAGCCCATGAACACCACTGGAGCTATAGGAAAATGAGAGAGGTTAGTGGGCTACTGAATGTTGTAATAAACCATAAATCCAGTGTCTTTATTAAGACCTGGATTTTTAGTGTCTAGCAAAGATATGAATTTAATTTCCCAGAGATGTTAACAGGCCAATTCACCTTCAATCATCCCTTATAACATGGGTTAACTACTTATGCTAAATAATCTGATTCACCTGACATTTATCTGTGACACTCCAAGTATCTTTCCTAAGCCTGAAGAAATGCTCGGTGTAGCTCGAAAGCTGGTCTCTTCCACCATGGAAGTGGGTCCAATAAAAGATATCACCTTCCCCAGCTTGTCTCTCTAATATCCTGGGAATGGGATGGCTATAACAACACTGCAATCAGAGACAAGATGGCACATACAACAAGTATTTAATATTGAAGTGGGGCATACATTGAAGGAACTATGATGGGTATGGCATGGACATTACAATGGAAGCAAATGGAACAGAAGTTCAAAGCTAATGAATAAGGCCTTGTCAACACTACCAAATTTTGATGCCAAAAACTGCCGTTTGGCAACAAAACAGCGAGAACATGCGCATTGCGGTACGACATTTGAGGGGGAAAATGCCCAGTTTTGGCGACAAAAAATTTCCACCTTCTGAGAGACTTTTTTCTCTTCCCCTCTTTATTATCCACAAAGAGCCTGTGTAGACACTGCTGTTTGTTTTCTCAACAGAACTGGCTTCAGCCAGCATCCCACAATGCCCGCCCTGATAGCTCACCTCAGTGTTTTGATCTCTGCTGCCCTGCAGGCATGTGCCCCTGCTCTATCTCAGCTCTGGGAAGTATCTAACAGCTGAATGAGCTGCTCTGTTTGGGGAATACACAAAGAACAAATCATTGGAGTGCTCCTGCTCTGCCCTGCACTAGGAGCACAGCAGCAGGCAGACTTGCTGTGCGGGGCAAGAGACAGGTTGCCATGTTGCTTTGACAAATCTCAGCCTGGCGAGCTCACAGGGCTACTCATGAGGCTGTGGGAGAACTCAGGGGGAATCCCAACATGCACAGCAATCAGCTCTGTCTTCTCACATTTCTGCATTGTGGGATACATATACCCATGTACGGCTCACATGGTCGATGTTGGTGCTTCTGCTATGGACATGACCTATCGACAAGGAGCAAGTGTGAACATCATTTAGGGATTTTTGTATTGACGACTTTTGGGTTTCTACATAAGTTTTGTTAATAAAACTTGGTAGTGTAGACAGGCCTCAGAGCATGTTGTAAGGGAGCCAGAGGTATTTGGAAAGAGGGTAAATTAAAGATAAGGAGTGAAACTCTAATTCCACTGAAGCCAATGGTAACATTCCCTTTGACCACAGTGGTTATATCTATACTGCAATTAAAAACTCTCAGTTGGCCTTAGCCTCAGGCTCACAGGGCTCAGGCTAAGGTACTGTTGAACTATGATGTAGGAATAAAGAGAAATATTTTGAAAACTACGTGTTAATTCTCAGCTGGTTAACGCCCCTGCTATTAACCTTATGTTTTTCCATTTGTTTTTTTTCTAGTCTGCCAAAAGGAACAGTACATTCTAAAACAAAACACAGGACTATGTAGCACTTTAAAGACTAACAAGATGGTTTATTAGATGATGAGCTTTCGTGGGCCAGACCCACTTCCTCAGATCAAATAGTGGAAGAAAATAGTCACAACCATATATACCAAAAGATACAATTAAAAAAAATGAACACATATGAAAAGGACAAATCACATTGCAGAACAGAGGGGGAATGCGGGGGGGTGGGAGAGAGGAAGGTAAGTGTCTGTGAGTTAATGATATTAGAGGTGGGGAAGGGTAAATGTGATTTGTCCTTTTCATATTTGTTCATTTTTTTAAATTGTATCCTTTGGTATATATGGTTGTGACTATTTTCTTCCACTATTTGATCTGAGGAAGTGGGTCTGGCCCACGAAAGCTCATCATCTAATAAACCATCTTGTTAGTATTTAAAGTGCTACATTGTCCTGCATTTTGATCAGATCAAAGGAAGTGGGTCTGGCCCACGAAAACTCATCACCTAATAAACCATCTTGCTAGTCTTTAAAGTGCTACATAGTCCTGCATTTTGTTTCAGCTACACGGCTGAAACACGGCTACATTTCTATCACTATAGTACATTCTAAGTCATCGTAATGCACCTCTAAGTCAACAAAAATGAAAACCACTCAAATCACTATAATAAGAAAAAGTTAACACTAATCATAATCTTCACAATCCTTTACTTTCCACCACTTATGCATGTATAGCACACTCCTGGAAGGCCACAGAACTAATATTTCAAGATGTAATTTTCTGGTAGGATACCTTGATCAGCCTTGTGTGTCAATGAAAGGAGGTCTCCATATCCCACGATAATTCAGTTAAGCAAGCCCTACTTGAAAAAGGAAATAGGCCGAAAGCAGACTCCAAGATCTTACCTGTCTGTCAAGCTTCTGTTGACGCAGATTGCTGCCTTCATCATCTAAAACACTGCAAAGACAAAGAGAATTCATTAGAAAATATGTGTCAGTCAACAGAACACCAAGTTGCAATTACTGGAGCTGTACCTTATTTAGGCAAAGCTCCCACAACAGTCCATGGAAGTGTTGCCTAACTAAAACTGCACAAGTAGTCTCAAGAAAATTAAATGCAACTCATGAAATATAAATAAAGTTCTGTGTGTAATGACTACATGCTCTAAAGTTTAGACTCAACCAGATCATAAAGGAACACAAATCTATCGCGTTTCAGAAGGGTCCTATGCCCTCAGTACAAAATACTTTGTTCTCCCTAACCTTCCAATAAAAATACTGGCATGCACAGCAGTGCTATTGGAATGTAAATTTTTATATAAAGCACATAACATGGTAATGAGTTTCAGGAGCAGTTTAGCAAATCATCAGTATTTAAAACTGGTTTGAGAAAATAAATGGTATAAGTTTCTCCAGGGTGAGAACCGGAACTGTTTCCCTCCTGAAAAAATCAGAAGAATTATATTTACAAGAGATTCTAATTTAGTGTCTGCACTCAAAAAATCAGAGATCTGCAATACAAACATTATTGTATTCTACCAATTACTATAATTTTCTCTCTGATTCTAGGTGATTGTATATTGTTGCTGGTTTGGAGATTAGCTCATGCCAGATTCAGTCTTTTTATTAATTAGATGTTGGATGGAAATAAAAGACAGAAACCTTTGCAATACATTTGATAACATGACTAAATCCACCTTACTTTGAGGGGAACAAATTCTACATGCTGTAACAATATTATCACTAAATATGTAAAGTACATAAATAAATTCATAGATTTAATTAAGCAAGTGAATATAGACTACCAAAAGATATAAATATAACATACTTCAATATTAACTACATTAATCTGACTTCCACTTATCATAGTGGCAGGCAACCTGTGACTCATTGGAGTTCTATGTGTAACCACCAGACATTGTGTTTATTGTTACCCACGTGCAGGGTTGCCAGATTTCACCGGTTTCCCTCCATGCAGGTTTTTTTTTCCCTACTGGGTTTTACTGACATGACACACACTTAAAGCAAGAACACATGACGTCAGGTGCATGCTGATTGCACACAATGTTGACTGTGAGAGAAGTGTGCTCCCACTGCATCCAATCAAAGTGCTGCTACGGTGCAATCGGCACACCCCACAAATTCTAAGTACGCAAGTGCAGCTGGCAAATTACTCCCGTCCCAGGAGACCATCTTGGTTGAGACAATCTTGCAGCCCATTGAGATGACTGATGGGCACTCTTGCAGCTTGCTCACTAGCCTAAGTTGCCCTTTGCTGGCTAGTAACAACAAAAAGTGGGCTGTGCCCATGAAAGCTCATGATGCCATCTACATGTTTTGTTAGTCTATAAAGTGCTACCAGACCATTTGCTTGCTGTTTTTAACAAAAAATGTGTATCCCATGTTGGTACCCTTGACAACTGCAAGCACAGAACAAGAGAGACAGAAATGGTTTCTGCACTTACACCTATTTCAAAATAACTGAAACATGACATAATATTATTTCAGCACCCTCTGTGATCATTAACTTGGTTGCAGGCAGCATGGTGTAGAGTTAAGTGGGAAACCTGAACACAGGAACAACCACTGGAGTTCTCACCCTCCAGAAAATAAAGAAAAAAAGACATGTGAGGAAGCATGTAGCATAACATCAGCGTTTTACAAGTTCTGCAGCAGGCATCATTATATCTATCTTATGAAAGGCTAATGCTAAAGGATGCACAATGAAACGAGTTTCACAATGGGAATTGGAATTGTGCTTTAGAAAAATTACAGACGTAAAAGTTTGTAGTCTTTGGAGGAGCTAATTCTAGCTGTGTTGCATTTAGGATAGCACTTGCCAAAAGCCTATGCAGCATTCCAAGCAATGAAGAGATAAATGGTTTGAATTTCAAAACTTGTACCCAAGTTACAGTAATAAAAAGTGGCCTCTAAAAAGTCTTTACTCATCTATGCCACCAGCTATGCTACCATTAAGTTCTCCTCAGAGTATCTAACTTTGAAAAGTCAAAGGCAAGACAGAGGCACTGGGCTGGACCCCAGGCACCTAAGTGAACTTTATCACACTTGCAAATTTTGAGTGGGTGTCAGCTGGGACCATTTGATCTGAGGTGTACCTGGGCAGATTCAGTCACATCTGAATCCTATTTGAAACTTTTACTCATAGACACGTCGGTACTTCAGCACCCACCAGCAGTCAAACTCCCTCCTCTTTCCCCCAATACCCCCTGTCTGCCAGCAGCCCCACTGATCAACTATTTCCCCTCTGGCCCAGTGCCTCCCGCCTGCCACAATCAGCTGTTCTATGGCATACTATGTTCTATGGTGCTGGGGAAGAGAGGGGAGAAGTGGGGATGTGGCATTCTTAGAGCAGGAGATGAAACTGGGCAGGAAGAGGTGGGGTGGGGATGGCATTGGGGGGAGGGGAGGAAAAGACGACGGAAAGGCCTGGGAGAAGGGGGAGGCCTTGAGGTGCAAGGGGGGCTCAAGCTCCCCTGGGGCCTGGAGGAAGCTGGCGCCTGTGCTTTTACTGCTTCATTTCGCAAAAGACAACACCCTGAAGGATACAGAGTTGTGGGTGTGAGAAAAAAGAAATGTGTTTTATTTCTTTAGTGAAGATTGTGCGAGACCCGTAAGGAAATGTGTCTGAGTAAACAGGGCACCAGGCAGAGAATTCATTTTGTGAATCTGTGCGGTAGAGCATATGTTTCGGACATACAAAATTGCACTGTTGCTGTGAAAGAGGCTAAAAGAGTCTGGCACGTCAAACACATCACAGTAATGTGTCATCTGTGGTTGTCAAATTCTAAAATAGCTTTAGGATCCCTGGCAAGAGGACCCTTCCTACCACTAACCAAAAACTCTGAAGGTATTAGTCACTTAGCTATGTCAACTGTATAGATCAGTTTCTTACTCTCACTTATGAAACACTGACAGCACACCCAGACTGGGACAAGACACACAAAATACTTACTCTCACTTATGAAACACTGACAGCACACCCAGCCTGGGACAAGACACACAAGATAACTTTGAAACAAAAAAACAGGACTATGTAGCACTTTAAAGACTAACAAGATGGTTTATTGGGTGATGAGCTAATAAACCATCCTGTTAGTCTTTGAAGTGCTACATAGTCCTGTTTTTTGTTTCAGCTAGACCAGATTATCACAGCTACATTTCTATTAAGATAACTTGGAGTGAGAGTCTGTGCAGTGCTTCCAAAAGGCACAACACAAAACTTGCAGCCCTGAGGCTGAAAGGGGAAAGATTGCATTAAGCCACATATGACCTCTCAACTCATGGTACTGCCTCAAATCCCAATAATACAAAATGCTATAGCTCAACACTCTCCTAGTTCTCATATGCCCCTAGCACGCACCCCTAACCTCTTCCAGGGCTTGTACTTGAGACCGTATCAGATACAGTTAGTTTGTTGGGTGGAGTTCTGTTGTCTCTGGCCCCAGGGCTTTTATAACCCCTGTACATTGCACAGGACTGTAGAGTGGCCATAGCAGGGATGAAAATGTCATCCATGTCCCTGTCCTAGGGAGTTTATGATCTTGGCATTGTTCTCAAAAGAATCATGCAATGTATTTGTTTTCCAAAAGACACTGAGCACCAACAGCAAAGTTTGCTGTCCTTTTGCAACAAAAGGCCTACAACAGATAATAATTTGTACTTAGAATCTTTCTTTTGAGAAACTCAGAGCACATTAGGAAAAATACATAAACATTATCCCCAAGTTACAAATTGTCTGCATTGTCCTGAATATTTATCTTTCCTCATGCTACACAACCCCAGTTACATTTCTGGCCAGATGACATTAGTGAAATGCGAGTATCAATCATTCCTTGTGCATGAACTTAAAAATCCCCTTTTGAGAATTAAACCAAGTATTTAACAATTAGTTAACAGTCCAGAATTTTAGAACAGCACAGGCAACAATGCACAGGGAGAGGCCCAAAGACGGTAAGTAATATGAACAGTCATGTCATTGGCAGAATTCACATCATCTCCTGCATTATAAATTAGACCATTCTGCCTGTCTCAGATAATAGAGCAAATGAGCAACAGACTTCATCATATACCTTTCCATATAAACAGTTGAATTATTATTGCAAGACATTATGTTCCAGGAATATCGTGGTTTGTCTGTGATGCTAAGTGTTGTACCACAGATATGGTAGCTAAACACCCATGATCTAACTTTGGATTTTCTACAGCGCATGTCATCATAATATCCCAGCATGGCCTAGTGGCCAGAACAGAGGAGTAGATAGCTGGCCTCCTTAATTCCACACTCAACTTTAGCTATGATTCATTGGTTTAAACGGGCTAAATCCAGATTTTGTGTAAACAAGAGTGACTCCTACAGAAGTCTGGTCCCAAACCTACAGTCTTAAAAATGATAGTTTAAATTACATAGTATATGGGAAGTGGTCAGAAAACAGATATAATTTTCACTGATTTAGCATGCAATGCATTCAAAGCAACTGCCTTACATGCTGAATGGAGCCCAAAGTAATGGATCTCCAGACAGGTTTTGTGACTATCAAGCTTTTTAAGACACCTCTCCATACCCTCTTCCTGTTGGATGAGATTATTTTTAGAATCTCTAAGAATATGCAGCCACAGCTGGGACTGAGATCTGTTTGCCAACAACTTATATAGCTCTTTTGCTTCTTCTATAGACACTTCTCTATGGCCTGATGACTATTTTCTAAATTTCTGGGCTGTTTTTCACATTTCTTGTATAAATAAGTGTAAACTGCAAGCCTTGTCCCTTGGGTGTTTAAACTTCAAACCATCTCATTTAAACTGACCACGGAACATCTTCTGTGCAAACAAGTCCTGTTGGAATGTGAACATGCCAGCCTCCTCTTGGCCACTCAGCTTATGGTCTGTGAAATGTGGACTGGAATACATCTCTCCCACCCTCCTTTCAAAGGGGCAACA